CCAAATTTAAACCTTCAGTTGTGCTTGCTATTTTCCCAAGAAAATGAAAAACCCTCTTCCTTTTCTTCCTCTAAAAATCAGTTAGGGCCTCTTCAAAAATCAATATAGTTAGGGCATTCTCTCAAACAACATCCCAAATAAGAGAGAAAAACCTCTTTCAAACTATCCCAAATCCGCATCCCATCTTCCTTTTTTCTCTCTAAAAGTGTGAAGCAGATAACCTCTTCTTTCTTCTCTCTATAAACCCTAATAGCTATGAGTCCAGCCATATTTTCTTCTCTTCCTTCTTCTCTCTATAAACCCTACTAGCTATGAGTCCAGCCATATTTTCTTCTCTTCCTTCTTCTCTCTCTAAACCGTAAACCCTATGGCAATGAGCCCAACCTAATTTTCTTCTCTTCATTCTCTCTCTAAATCGTAACCACAGGTGTGAGACCCAAATTTGTATGAACCTCTTTTCAATTAATGAAATTTATAAGACTTTAATCATAGTTATGGAGTGAACATAATCACCTTACTATAGTTAAAAACAAAAATCGTGTCTTGTTTTTTAGTACGATGGTTAAGTATTTAATGAAGAAATTTTTATAGTATATTTGTCACTATATCGTAGTTAAAGAATTTAATGAATAAATTTATATAGTATATTTATTTTTGGTATGCAATAAGTAGGTGTGATCTTTCTTAAAATATTTAATGGGTAGGTTTATATGGTACATTTTTTTGGTCTATAGAAGTTAATTTTGAATTTAATATTGGAAGATTGTTCGAGAGTCGCTAGGCATCTAAATTAATTGATTTAATTATATTAGTCTCATAAAGTTTTTATGGTTGAATTAGTTATTGATGGCTTTGACAAAATTTTTATTTTTTTGAATTTCAAAATTTTTAATATTATAAATTTATCCGATTTTTTTACTTTGATTTTTTTAGCCTAATCCGATATATTAGCGATATCTTTATATGAAGTATTTTTGCCGATCCGTATTTTTCACATGATTTTTTTTATCCAACTTTTTAAAATAAAAAAATTTGAGCCGATTTATTGAAAGTCCCCGACATGGTAACTATGCTTGCAACAATAACTACTAACCATTTAGTAGTTTCCTAACTTCCTACTACCCAAACTTACAAGTGCAACCTTAGTACGTCACTCATAATAAAATAACATAAAAACTAATATGGTTTCTAGAACATACACTTTAACAATTTTAATACTCCATCTTAAAGATATTGTCTTGAAAGGAGACCATGCATACACGATCATCTCCATTTAGTAGGCCACTAAAGAGACTCCCAAATTCTGCCAAGGAGAGTTGTATAGCTCTCACCCTTGAATAGAGGTAACATTGAGAATATTCTCCCTCTTTAACTCACAAATGATACATCGCTTCATTCGTACTGTCGAAATAGATTCCTCCAGATCAACGAGAGATCTCCAAACAAATATTATTGATTTTTAAGAAGAATTGGGAAATAGAAGCATCTCCTGGAGTTGAGTTTCACATTCGACAATAAAGCTGTTCAACTTTCCACCCAAATTCATCTTCAAAGTGACAATTGATCTTCTTCATCAAATGAGTCAAGACAATATCATCACAGCCCTTGTGGCTCTGATTCCATGTAGAGAAAGACAGACGCCACAACACCAGAACAATTCGCTTCTCAATTAGTGTAACAATGTCACACTAGCCCAGGACTCACAACTAAATATAAATAAGAAGAACAACAAAAATGAGGTGGAAGAAAAACATTCATTCAAAGATCAAAATAGATACATAGACATTACACTCTTGACACTCAAGATTAACCTTGATACATGTGGCCCAGTTTTCTTTCATTCGAACATTACAAAAATAGAGTACACAAAGGTATTACAATCTTGACACCCAAAATTAGCTCTAAAACATGTGATCTAATTTTCTTTCATTCAGATAATATGAAAATGTAGTATACTAAGGCAATACAATCTTGACATCCAAGATTAACCTTAAATCATATAGCCTAGGTGTACACATTACAATCTTAAGATTAACCTTAATACATGTGATCTAATTTTCTCACTACACACCTCTCTTTAAATAAAGGTTTTTTACAACCATATTTACTACAAAAACTACCTACTTGCAACAACAACTACTAACCGCCTAGTAGTTTGAACTTCCTACTACACAAACTTACAAGTGCATCCTCACTACATCACTTATAATAAAATAACATAAAAACTAATATGGTTTCTAGAAAATACACTTTAACCATTTTCTCAATTTTTTTTCTTTTTTTGTTGTGAAAAAGAAAAATAGTAGAATAGAAAGTTCTTTAAACTAGAACCTTGCACCCTCTTACAAGCCAGCTCAACAGTTCCCCAGCTAACTAGCCCTAATTTTAAAACATAGCTCTATTAAAGATTGGATCCACATTATTAAAGCTCTTCAGAGTAAAAATAAGTTACTCTTTACCCCTTCAAAACTTTAATGCCTCTAGAAGAAATCGGTCATTCTGAAAAGGGTCTAAGAAAATCCCAATCAACTTTTACTAAGAAATCAACTTTTACTATAAAAGTAAGGCACATCAAAAAAGGTTATTAAAAGTAAGGCACACCAAAAAAGAGTTATTAAAAGTAAGGCACACCAAAGAAAAACCTATTAAAAAAGATTATTATATATTATGAAAATGGTGTGGTTTAATGTTACAACCTTAAACAATCAAACCAAGGCTTACCTATAAATTTTATTGTAAATCTAATTTTGATATAAAAAATTCTTAGGATGGCTGGAGAATCTATTTTCATCTCTAATTAAAAAATTTAAAAATTATAAAATTTTAAATTTAAAAAATGGATCAAATCAAGTAGATCTATAAACACATGAAAATCTTGAAAATGAATCTAGAGAATGTGGTGCAATAAACACTACTTTGTGGATTCGAAACCTTTTTTTCTTTTCAGATTCATACATCTTGATGTCGAGAAGATCAATTGGAGGGTTTTCAATATCCAAACAATATTCTATCACGGATTTTTTCAGGTGCATCTTTAATTCTAAATTTTAAGTTTGCAACCATATATAAACTTTTTTCTTAAGAAAGAACTAAAACATGATTTTATGTTTTAAAAATAATGCATCTTGTAACAAATTATTTGGACCATCAATTTTCAAGATTTCAAGTTTTTTATAGATTTGCTTGACCTGAATTATTTTTGGACATTTAAATTTAATAACTAGCGATTGAAATAGATTTTTAGGTAATCATAAGGATTTTCAACACCAAAACTAGATCCATTAATGTTAGAATGTGTGTCTTATTTTAATTGTCTAAGGATGCTGCCTCATATGAAGTGCACGAAGTGGAGACGTCCATCTGGAGTTTTATATGATCACCACATACCAACGAAACTGAAGAGAAAGTTCTACATGACATCTGTGAGACCAGCTATGTTTTATAAGGCGGAATGTTTGGCGGTTAAGAGACAACATACCCATAGAATAAGTGTCGATGAGATGGTGATGTTGAGATGGATAACAAGATAGGAAGGGAGAGAACTCGAAATGAATGCATTCGAGAGAATTTAGGTATGCACCAATAAGTGATAAGATGAGAGAAAATACATTTAGATGGACTGGCCATGTATACAACACATGTTAGAAATTGCATGTTAGTTCAAGTGGAAGGCTACAAAAGGGCAAAAGTTAAAACATGGTTAGACGTAGTGAGAAAAGATATATGAACTTATAGCCTCACTGACGGTATAGCCTTTAATAAAATAGAATTGCGAACCAAGATTCATAAAGCCGACCCTACTTAGTTGGAAAATCCTCTAATGATATTAATGATTAATAATTATTAAAAAATTAAAATAAAAGAGGGTTTAATTATTGGACTGCATTTGTTGGAGCATACTATGAAATTACTCCAATGGGCATAGAACATAAGAACAATTTTTTGATATGAAATTCTAGGATACACGTTAGACTTACAAAGAAAACAGAATTTGAGTCCCTAAATACTTAAATCTAGCGACATCAAAAAATGGAGAGTTTCTATTCAATGATATTAATTTTTATATAGGGGCATGAAGATTTGCATTAGTTATTTGTTTGTCTCCTTTCTTTTTCATTGTTTGAGGTTATTGGCTTAGTTGAGGAGGTAGTTCCAATGTTATTATCATCGAATGGACCACCTAATAGTCGAGGTGTCTAACTCAATCAAAATCAATTGCGACTAGATTGTCATAAAGAAAAAAAAAAATAATAACAACAATTATAATAATTTTAAAACATAAAATATATTTAAGGATAGGGTATTGATAAGTCAGCCGACTCACCTATTACCATGTTTTCTTTTGTCTATCAAACATCTATCTTTAAAATGGATGTTAAAAAAATGTTACATACTCTAAAAGCTAAAATTGATGATACAAAAAGGAATTCAAAATTTGATATTTATATTTTTTTGAAATAAAAATAAAATTTAGGCCATTGTCATGGTTGAGATCGAATCCTAAAGTTTTGAATCGATAAATATATTTAAGATATAGTTTTGGAGAGAGATTGCAGAAGAATAAGTGAATGACGGACTCACCGAATACTTTCCGTTACAAAATAGTGCCCAACTTTATTAAACTTGTCTGACTCGGTCAAAATTAGTTGCTCACATAGTTAGAAATTAAATTTGATGAATTTGACTAGTTTTCTATCAAACCTGATTTTATTTTAAAATGAACACGCAAACTACTATAGTAATGAGTATGGAAATTCACCCCAGGTAGTCCCGTTGAACTTGCATCACCAATATCCTATGGTCCTAAAAGACATTCGTGGGTTCTACCGAAGGGAGTTATAGGTGGAGATGCTCATCCAAGATTATAAAATCTTTGGAATAATAATTTATCCAAATCTATGTCCAAAAAGTTGTTGTCCAATCAAAGGAAAAAACAAAAAGGAATCAAACATAAGGAGGAAGCAAACATGAATTGTCTCTGAACCCTGGGCTGGTCTAAAGAGAGAAATTTCTCTGAAGTCTGAACCATTGAAGACTAGAGAAAGTGAGAGAAGAAGATGAGTGCAGCTTTCATGGAATCTAATATCTTCTCTACCATCTTACGAGCATTATGCTCATTATTTGTAATGGCATTGGTATTCCAATTGGTGGAATTTGCGGTAAAAGTATGGTGGATTCCTCTTACAGTTTCAAAGTTTATGGAGAAACAGGGGATTAGAGGTCCCCCATACAAATTCCTCCATGGAAACAACAAAGAAGTTGGGCTGATGATAATGGAGTCAACTGCAAAACCCATGAATTTTTCTCATGATATTTGTCCTCGAGTTCAGCCTCATTTGTATTCTTGGATCAAAATCCATGGTAAGAGAGAGAGAGAGAGAGAGGGTGAACCCAAGTGGAAGTTCAAGAAATTGTGAATTTTTGGTTGATAGTTTTGGGTTTCTTCCATAATTGCAGGGAGTGTTTTTCTTTGCTGGTTGGGCCCAAAACCACAGCTAATAGTCACTGATCCAGAGCTCATACGAGAGATTCTTAAGAATAAAAACGGTGACTTCCAAAAACCAAAGAAGAATTCAATTGTCAAAAGGCTAGTTGGAGATGGCCTTGTATCGGCAAATGGAGAGAAATGGGTTCGCCAACGTAAGCTCGCCAACAAAGCCTTCAATGGAGGATCCCTTAAAGTACTCTCTCTCTCTCTATCTCTGGCTTTTAGATATACATCATTAGAGGGGATAATTTGGATAAATAGATTTGCTGGGCTCTCCTAATTATAGTCATTTCGCATGAATGCAGATGCACACAGCGGAACACAAATATATATAGGACACAAAATATATACCAAATTGGACATGTGTGTATGAATGGGAAAACATACAAATAAAGCAAATAAAGAAATAAGAATTACTGGCACCGAGATTTACGTGGTTCACCTTTTCAAGCTACGTTCACGGGAAAAAAAAATCAAATCTACTATACACTCAATGTTAGAATAGTCTAAGAAGAAAACATGCGTTCTTGGGCTCACTGATTTCTTTTAAAGACTTTAATGTCTAGGTTTTCTTCTTTGATGTCATTTTCTCTCTCAAAGACTTCTTTTCTTTTGCAGAAGTTTTCTCTCTCTCTAAACGAAAAGGTTCTCTGTTTCTCTTTTTTTCTTCTTTTCTCTCTTTACAAAAAAAATTCTTAACAAGATAATCATCGGTTCTCTTTCATCTTCTTCTTCTCTCTAAGAAGAAGGGTAACTTTCTATCTCTTTTTCTCACTCAAAGAATGATAACTCTCTCTTCCTTTTTCTTCTAAGAGAATGATAATTTTCAATCTCCTCTTTTTCTTCCTCTCTAGCTTCTTGTATTTTTCAATACACAAAGAAGAGTCTACTCAAAGAAATGGCCCACGAGAGGTGTGGCCCAAAATGACCCAAGAGGGGTGGTTTTGGTTAAAACAGAACCAAGATCAAACAAAACCCCTCATGTGATTGCTATTTGCATGGGTCAATAGGATAAAGACCATTATAGGAAAGGATATCCCATAACCTCCAAAAGATGGCTCATCTCTAATTTATTTTTATTTTTTTTAAACAAGAGATAGATGATCTAGCTATCGATATCAATCACGTGAGACTTCTCATATGTCATGGGATCATGACTTGGTCAACAAATCTTATTTCTATCTTTCCAAAACTACCATTTTAGAAAGACGATTTCTATTGGTGTCCCTTCTTCATGGGATAAAACTCCCAATAATTTCCCCTTCCAATCCCAGGAGGGAGGTTTCCCTTTGCAGATCAACTAGGTGCTCAAATGGCACCCATGTCAGTCATGCTTCAATATGACTCTTGTTTGCCTTTGGCCAAGATCCTCGTCATCATATTCTACATAATCCGATCGGTATGGATTTTCCCTAGTTGCAAAAATTTCTCATCCTTCTGTAGCTTGGACTGTCATACCACAACTCCTCCTGCTAAAGTAATCAAGTCCCCTGAGATTGACTTCTAGGAGCCTAATTCTCCAACAATGTCATCATCTGTATACCCATATAACACAGGTTTTCTCCCCTAAAGCACAAACATACTATGGATATTTCTTTAAGATACCTGAATATCCAATTGACTGTTGCCTAGTGTTCTTTGTCAAGAGTAGCGATGAATCTACTCACCACGCGTCTGTTGCATGTGCTTCTTACAGCCGACCCATCGGAAACATTCTGTATTTCTTCCTTCTTCCTCTTGGTTGAAGGGATCACCTGACACTTAACACCCGTGCCTTATTGCCTTTCGGCAACTTTACCAGGTTGTATGTGTGATTCTTATGCAATGATTTGTCTCATCTTGTATAGTTCTAACCCATACCCCTTTGTGTTTGTCGGCCTAAATTTCCTAGTAGATTTTTAGTTCACCCTCGTGTATAGGACATACTCTGATGCAAGGTAATTTGTAGAGGGCTAATGTCCCCTAGATAACCTTCTCAGTTCAACTGTAGGTGACTCTTCTTGAACATGCTGCTTCCCCTATTCTTCATCATCCTGAACAGGCATGTCAAGTTCTTTGTACTCATCGTCTTTTTTCATTTCTCCCCCGTCTTCATTTACCACGATGAGAGAAACTATGACCGATTCTGAACCATTAAAGTTTTGTGGCTTTGCTGCCTTCTTCACATCTTCAATAGTAAGGTCTTCTTGAAAGACCACATCCATATCCCTGATCACCTTCCTGTTCTCATGATCCCACGGCCTATAGAGAACTTTTCATCTGAATATCCTAAGATGATGTATAGGAGTGATTTCTCACTCAACATGAATCTTTGTTCCTTGGGCACATACATCAATGCCTCAAACACCATCAAGTGTGAATAGGAGATATCCTTTCTGGTTCATACTCTCTAAGATCTAGCCATCCAGAGAAAACAATGGGGATCGATCTACTAGGTAGCATGATGTGAAGACTGCTTCACCCCATACAACTTGGTAGTGGATAACATACTCCTAACTCTGAGGCACTTTAGCAGCTTGGATGTCTCCCATTCCAATTTAGCACGGAAATCCTCAAAGGTGGCAAACTCTTGATCTTTCGATTTCACCGATACCTCTCATGAAGCACCATTGATGAAGGTGACGAGGTATGATGTGCCACAAAACAACTTGACATCCATGGAACCGCACACATCTAATTCCACTAGATCCAGGATTTCCTTAGAGCCTGTACTAGAGAAATAGACTCTAGGTTGTTTGCCTAGCAGACCATGGTCACATGGGGTTAGAGATGCATGCATCTCCCATACGCACATTCTTTAAAGAACCACCTCTCCATCTTTACAAAGCCAAAATCTTCCACTCTATAAGAAGCAAAATAGCATCTTTGTGGAGTAACATGAAACTATTTAACACTATCCACAACTCAATCTGAGTTTCATGATGCAATGTTAATGAACCCTTCACCACAGTTTTCAACCACACCAATATATATGGTCACTACATTGGTTTACCAGCCATCATCTATGACATTGTCCTCAATCTGCTCAATCTTGAGCCTTCGACAATCTTTCTTTATGTGTCTTTCTTTGCCAAAATGAAAATACAGATCTCCTTTCTCATCTTTGAACTAGCTGTATCCTTAGATTGGTTTGATCAGATTTGGCTCGTATTCATGGACCTACTTTGATTTGTGATAAGGGCTTACGAGTTCGATATGTCGAAAAATTTTCTTCTCGTCTTCTCATTCAGCAGACTGCTATTGACCTGACTCATGGTCACTATTCCAACAGGTGTTGAGTTGCTCTCAGAGACTACCAGGGTATCCCAACTGTCCGGCAGTGACTGGAGCAAAAATAGAGCTTGTAGCTCATTTTCTAAAAACAACTTCATCATTACGAGTTGGTTAACAATATTTTTCACCTTATTCAGGTGCTCTGCAATGGATTCCCCATCCTTGAACATCATGTTGACTAAATTCAGGATCAAAGACGCCTTATTTACGACAATATTCCTCTCATACAAGTCATGTAGCTTATCTCATAATGATTTTGAGAATCTCTCCATCGACACATGGTGGAACACATTATCTTCCAACAATTGTCGGATAGTTCTGAGAGATTTTCAATCCAATCTCTCACTCATTGTCTATCATACTTTTGGGCTTGTGTTTTACCCCTTCAATAGGTGTGTACAAGTCCCTACAGTATAATAGATCTTTCACTTTTGGCTTCCCGGTGATCCAATTATTCCCATTAACCGATATCATCATGCTTCTAGTATTGGAGTCCATCTAAATTTACACACATTGTCTTTCACCATCTGCTGCAATTATCCCTCGTCTGTTAGGGTATGCCCCTTCTTTGATGGTTATCCCCTGTTGGTTAAGCTATCGTCTGTCGGTTAAGCTATCACTCATCGGATCGTTATCGCTCGTAGGTTAGTTATCACTTGTAGGCTAGCTATTGCCTGTAGGCTAGTTATCGCCTGTAGGTTAATAAATAAAACTTATTGGTACCGAGATTTATGTTGTTCACCTTTTCAAGCTACATCAATAGGAGAAAGAGATCGAATCCACTATAAATTAAATGATTACAATAGTATTCCAAGAAAACAGGTTTTTTTGGGCTCACTGATTTCTTATAGAGACTTCTCCCTTTAAATTTTCTTCTCCGAGATTATTTTCTATCTCAAATACTTCTTTTCTTTCACAGAGGAGTTCTTTATCTAAAAGAAAATATTCTCTCCTTTTCTTCTATTCTTTCTCCTCTATCTCTCTCTCTCTCTCTCT